CACACACACACATATGTAATAAATAACATATATATATATAACATATATATATACATATATATAATAAATAACATATATATATATAACATATATATATAACATATATATATATAACATATATATATATATACATAAAGATTACTTTACTCATCAGATATTTACAACTGAAAAGAATAATCACATATGGTCCTCAACAGAACTTCGATCTCAGTGTCATTTAAACACGCGTTAGGCAACGCTTCGTGAACGTCCAGCAATGTCTGATTTATCTAAAAGGTATAGATACGATATTTCAGGAGTTTTTTCCATCAATCTATTGCAAATATAATATAATTCATTATGCAATTGATACCCATTCATTTCAAGATTTTGTTATGTATTTCTGCTTTTATTCGTGAACGAGAGTTTCTAGTGTTTTTGATAATTATAATTATAAATATTAATTTTTACTGTGTATTTGACCGAATTGGAAAACAATTATTTATCGTGAATGTCTCTTAAATAATAAAACGCTGGGTTTGGACAAATATCGATTCTGTTTGAATTAAATTGATTAAATAACAAACTTACGGAAGGATGTTTGTGAAAATGTACTTTTGTATATGAAGCGAAAGTATACATGCAATTGAATAAAGTAATAAATAGCCTGCGAATGTTGACCTGTTTTTGAAAATATTAAGTAGCAGAACAGTAGGAAAATTTTAAAGAACCTACATATAACTTTGAACTTATGTAAACTAAAAAAAGAGTCGTAAAAGGCGATGTTGACTCTTGGAGTCAAAAGTTCATTTATGTCAATACTACTTTTAGAAATACACCAAGCAAGACAAATTATTGACGAGACACAGGACAGCCATTGTCGATTCAAAAGAAAATGCAACTAAAATAACATGTAGATATCAATTAAGGCAACATGCAGATATGCAAAAAGAAAAATAAATGTAGAAAGATATATAAAATCAAAGAGATTTAAAAATTATAAAGTTCCCCTGTGTTATGTCTAAAATGGGAATAATAAAATCATTGATATGATTCCTCATTTCAAATTTATATCGCTGTTTTTTTACTTCAGAACTGCTATAAACATTTTATATAACATAATTCGTTAAATGATGTTATCAACAAAATAAATAATTGTAAAAAATCTATATTTGTATTTAAAAAATACGCGAATAGAGAGAACTAGGATAATCGAGACCGGTGAAAAAGGATCAACCTTTTCAGCAATGGCAAGGCACATCCCGCATCTGATACAAGCAGAAGAGAAATCGATTTCTATCATGTCGCATGGTGAACAAGAACGCAAATACGGAATCTTTTGTACTACTCCAAACTCTGTTGGGTCACAGTAATAATAATAATCGGATGTTGAATTTTGCTCGTTTCTACTTAAAGTCTGCTCGTTGCCTCTTTGACACTTGGCGGATCGTTTTCTGCCGAAACCCGTTCCATCTGAGGTTAAAATCAATAAAAGCAATATTACGATAGAAACTTTTATCTCCATTGTCGTCGACTTCCGTCAAGTCTTCGTTTTCTGCTCGCTGGGTATGATACAGATTCCCAAAAAACTTTCTTCATATGAAATTTTACTAATATGTATTCATCAAAGATTACACATTTTAAAATAGGTTACCATTATAAGATTTAAAAAAAATAGCTAAGAATATCTTGAAACAGAAGAAACAAATTTTGAAGTTTGTTGGCCCGGAAATGTCATGGTAAGGTATACTTCGATATTACTTCTACTCTCGATAGGCGTCGCCGTAGTTGCTATCGACGATTCGCCTGCGCAAGATTATACATTGAGTAAACGCATAGCCTGAGTTGGGGTTTTGAAGGTTAGGATAATCGAAATAATTCACAACCATGGTAATATTTTTACTAATTTATACGTATACAAAATAGATTATCATAGAAAGACTATTTGAGTGTGTTGTTATCTTTTATAGGCCACAGCAATGAGAAAAGAGTTCCTGAAGTCAAAGAAAATGATACATCCAAATAGTAGAAAGTCTATCGCTATTACGAAAAAAGCCAAGAAGTAAATAGAATTACTATTAAATTATATGATTTTATTATGTACATTTCATTTATTTTATATGATTATATAATACTTTTGTGTACTAGCGAAGGAAATGGTCAATGTGTTTTGTTTCAGAATATCAAATAGACAGAAAGGAAAAATGTCCCGCTTGATAAAACAGAATTTAATAGGAGAAAAAATGTTGTGGATCAGAAACAATATGATTCCAGGTGTGTGTCCCTATACTCCAGAGTTAACTGCAAGTTTGTTAGAAACGTAGGTAAAACAAAGATGTATGTACATGGTGATACATAGAATGAGCATTAAAGATTTGATTGGTTATAGTCCTATGTTTGATCCAAAGGTACATAGCAAGAAATGATAAAGAAATGGAACAAATTGCTATTAAAAGATCTATAGGTAGCAATAGGAGTAGACAGCATGCTAGCAGGGAAAATATAATTAGAATAACCAAGGAGAGAGAACAAGAAGAATATGATACATGTGGAATAGGTAAAGAATTACAGTCAAATTTATTTTTAATACATGTTGATATACAAACCCTGTTTTATTTTTCAGAAATTCCTGATATTTTAAATGCAACTCAGTGTAAAATGTTAATGAATTGGAATAATGACTTACAGTGCGTGAATAATTTTAAATTTATAAGGTTTGGTAAGAATGATTTAAACAAAGCATTAGTGCTAAAAGAAAGAAAGCAAATAGCTATGCCTGTAAACAAGAAGAATTTATTAAGTAAGTCAGTTGATTCAAATGAAAATAATCAATCGACAGAATGTGTAATGGAAACAGAATAAATTCTGTAGATATACATCTTTTTTACCTTCTTCTCTATTTAAAAAGAAAAGTGAACAGTTTTATCCTTTTTTGTTTGCAAAATGCTAGAGACTGCATTTTGTCTTGCTCTTATGAAGCAGTTTATGAAGCAGAAGCAGTCATGTCACAAGGTACAAGGATACGATAGAAGAAAAAAGAAAATGTTCGATTGTGAAATATTCAACAAAACTGAAACATGTAGATGAATCACGTGCACGTCATGAATATTTTGCATCGTTTTTTCGCTTTTTCTTCATTTTTTTCTCTAGTTGCTCCATTATTTAAGAACGAAGATATAGTAATTATTCTAAAAGTTGTATATTTCAAAATGGTAAGAAAATCAATAGTAATAATGATAAATATACGATTTTAAAAGCTTTTTAAATTCTTTACATAGAATTAATCAAATAGTTTAGTATATAAAAGAGTGAACTTATGTCACATGCAATGCAGCTGCGTTTGTTGCAACAATTGCAATTCCAAGGAATTTCTCTCGAAGACCGTGGTGAAGAATTTGTTTCGTTAAATTATTATTGGTATACTTCGTCAACTTGTGATATATCGATACAACTTGCCAACCATCACTTAATAGCTTCTCCTTAATAAAAATAATTCGTAACTATTTAATAAGAAGCAGTATATTCTTAGTTATTTAGAAATTTACTTAACGATGTTTAAAAATACGAATATGTTTAAAAATTATAACGTAAATATATATGTGTCTCATTTCATGTTTCACTTAGTATATGGATCATCTTAGTATATGGATTTAATGTATCATACAGTAACTTTTCTTTGTTAGAAAATTTTAGAAATTATCTATATGACCATAACCTTATTTCATAGTGGATATATTAGATTTGATGGACTATATTTTAATTTTATTTTATATTACTATTAATAGAATAGTAAGTAGAAAGATTACGTATATGCACTGTAACATAGTACGAATAAGCTTACAATTTTTTATATTTCACCTGTAACAGCAATTTGTAATTCTGTAATTATCTGTCTTCACATAATACTTAAAATTCGCATTTTGAAATCATGTTTGTGATGTACGCATATATATGTGTTCACGTTAGTGTTCAAATTCTTATAGTTATGTGGTTTAAAAATGTCCAGTTCATCAGTTCGTAAAATGTAAGAGAATTTTTACGGTGTTTGGTATTTCAAATTTGTATTGTATAGAAACGAAGCCTCGCCGTCTCAGCCAATCCACAATCGGCTAGGCTCACTTTTGGCGGGAACCGCCATTCTACTGTCGAAGAGCGAGTCGTTAATATGTGTCACCGTTCAAAGCGTATAATCTGAATTTCTTAGTACTTCGATTGCTGTTATTACATTACATACATTATTATTAGGTTTGTTGAATTAATGTCTACCTATTTAGTTGTTTATTAGATATTATTAACAAAAGTTTATATAATCTTTCGAACTTTTTTCTGTTTTCCTCCATTGGTAGTCTATTTGATCGTTTTCATTACGTGTAGCATGTATCATAAACTTTTGAAACAGAATATAAGTTCGACTATTATTTCACTTTAATATAATTTGTTCCAATTTTGTACGTTTATTTCAACGTTTTTCATACAGTAACGTTTAGTAACGTTGATTTATGATATACACATTTATGATATGACAATCATATATATATATTAATCGTATGAATATGCACATAGGCATGCCATATTTAACGTAATACGACTAAATTATACGTAATTCTATGATTTCCCTTAAGAATACTAAGGTGGAACTAGACGTGATTAAACAAAATTCATTACTTTTTAGAAAGAGTTCAAATATCTTCAACGTTTTTTTTATTTTGAATAATTTTTTTCCTCGATCCGTAGTGCAAAATAGAGTTTTGAACAATTCGATAAAATAACTAAGATATTCTCAATTGAAATTAAAATAAAAAATTAAAAAAATAGCTCATGTATTATACGAATTGTAAATGCATGACGAGAAGATTGCAGCGTCACTAAATCCTTGTCAACAATTTTTTGTTTTCACGAGAGCTTTACAGTACCAGACGCGTGCACACGAATTTTGGTCTGTCACAAGCATTTTCGAATAATTATAAAATGAATGTAGTTTATAAGTAAGAAACGAACATTCGCAGTATAATTCTTTCAGATAGATTGTATTACATTTAGAATCTTATAAATATTTGTCAATATCAGGAAATAAGTTACAAAGCACAAATAATATTTCAAATATATTCTATTTCCGTAATATATTTTTTTATTGATGAGTAAATTAATTAGAAACAGCAGTATTTTCCGAAAAAACGCTCACTTCCCCCATCCTTCTCTGTTAATGCAGTTTTACTTTCGGAAATTTTTTGTCACCGGATGCAATGCGGTCTTAGAGTCAGTGTTTGCTATGTAACGTTTTTATAATTTAATATTTTATAATTAGATTTACTTTTACGTTTTCAAAGGCGTGCTTTGATAATGGGATCGCCTAAGGACATTGCTATTAATATTTTATAATATTCTATTACACGTTATGTTTGAAAAAATTATATCTTTCCAACTTTTTATCTATTAATCAATTTTATTTAATCAAGTAACAAGCGCAGATATCTTCGTTTCAGAATCACTTCTATTCGTCAAAATGATATTAAATCATTTGTGTTTACTCTCTATACTTTTATTTTTCATCTCACTGCTCAGCCTAACGTATTGTTTTTTGTTTTGAAACGTAATATGTCTATTACTGAAAACATATCCTTTAGTGTAGGTGTTCCAGGAATTTGACGAGTCCTATTTGTGTATGTAGGAATAGTCGACAACTCTAGCCCCCTACTCCTCCATAACCCAAACTCGTTGGGTAAATCGCGGTGCGGGGTGTCAGTTTAACGTGGACAATGAGAGGGATTAGACGTATATCCATCCATGTCATTTCGCGACAGGTGGCTTTGCACTTTGGTAGACATTTTTCTACCGTTCAAACTCACACTATTGTTACTTTCTGTGCGTTTTTCTTCATTACTTTGTTGTAATCTATTATTTAATTACCTTTGTTTCTCCGACTGTCTTTTTGATTGCTCCATTTACCGGTAGCTCGTACAATGAGTTTTCGAAACACAATTTGACCATGATCTATGTTTTATTTTCAAATAATTTATTCTTTTTATACATTTTTTTTTAATATTTCGCTTTTTTTTGTGCAGATTACTATTATTTGATTCCGAGAGAAGCTTTGATGTATTAGAGGGATGCTGCGAAATTCGAAAGGACGGGATGAAAGCCAAAAGGACGCCATGTTGATTAACGATAAATTTGATAACTTTTCGTCAAAATGTGGTAATATTTATTTATTATTAAATTAACTCCATTTCTTATAAATATTTCGTTATGTTAACGTAATTAATATCTAATATAATAAATTCTAAATTCACGGTTTTTATTAAGAATACCAAGATGAAAAGTGCAAGATTAAAGAAATTACTTTTTTCTTTCGAATATATTAAATTATGTTTCCGAAGAATGTGAATAGACTGTTTAACGTAAATTTAACATAGATTCTCTCGATTCTATTTCATTTGAGTAAGACATTCAAATAACTTTTTCATTTTAATACATAACATAATATTGACTATTAATTTCGTCTTTCTCAATAACTTTTATTACATTCGAGAAAGTACGTTATCACAGACAAGTTTGAACAGCTTCTGCGCATCGCATTTTTTTCGTGTTGTGTAGTTTTGTTTAACGATCAGAAAAGGTGCGCCATGTTGCATTAGAACGAAGTCACGTAATGCATAAAATATGTGAAGCTGTAATGGCGGACATTCAATTTGGCGGATAATTTTTACAAATCAATGGTATTATGAAATATTCATATATATGTATTTGACAATAATAAAAAATACTTTGAGAAATATTTAAAAAATTTTTAGATTTTTAGACAGGTAAGATCCATAAATAAATTTTTAGAGTTTTAGGTACGTAGGACCCACAAACAAAGTTTTAGATTGTTAGACAGGTAGGATCCATCAACAAACCTTTAGCTTGTGAGGCAGATAGAATCCATAAATAAATCTTCAAATTTCTATCTAGGTAGTATTCTATAAATAAACATTTAGATGTCTGATGCTCAGAGTTTACAAAGAAATTGTTCAAATTGGTTGCAGGTGAAAGTCTATGAAAAGAAATCTTTAGACTTCTAATAGGTAGAACTTGTACAGAAATCGTGTAATTTTTATGTAAGTAGAGACGACAAAAAATCTAAAGTTTTGATTTAAACTAATTTAAGTTTATTTCTAAGAAAGAAGATACTCTCTCATAGTACAATCAACATATTCAACATATTCAAGATCAATGTATTTAGTTGTGAAAGATATATTCATTCTGTACTTAGACGCAATATTTCCACTCCAATTTTATTTATTATATTGAGATATTTATGTAGATAGGATTCATGAAAATCTTTGAATGTTTGAAAGACTAGTTAAATTAGATTTGTAGTCAGGTAGGAAGTTGAAATTTAATTTTTACTGTTAGGTAAGGCATTTGTGAATTAATTTTATGAATGAGATCCCTGGGTATATTGATCATTCTCAAATTAAAGCCCCAACTTAGAATTAGGTAGACATTTAATAGAAAACCTAGTAATGTTAGGAAGCACTGTATCCCTGTATGTGTGTGATAGATAGATCGTTTTGAAATTAAAAATGGCAATAGAAGTATAAAATTACTGATAAAAATAAGAAAAAGAGTCTCATATAGAATTATACGATTAGTTTATGATTTAATGTAATTTTTATTTTCATGATTATCTTAAGATCTAATACAATTTTTAATTTTAGGTGGGTCTCCATTCGCAGCAACCTCCACAAGGTGAGATCCAGATAATCATATTAATATTTAACGTACAATTTCTAATTGCATCAATACGTAATTAGAATTATGAATTGTGTAGTAAATGATAATATGAGCTGATTGGTTGCGATCGCGATTAGTTTTACATAATTATATAGTCAAAATTTGTTTATTATTACCTTTTAAAGGATAGTTAATAATTGCCACGATTTACATTCCAAATTCGTTCGTAAGTTAATTAACTTTCACTCTGCCCACTGTTCTCAATTACCACGCGTCTAACCAAATTCGTCTCACGAGTGCAGCGTCGTATCCATGGCTCGTTGCAAATTAAGCGAAAATACGACAAATCTAATGAGGTGTTTTAGCTAAATTAACATTAATTCGATCGACCGAACCGGTAGAACTATCAGGAAGAGATTAAGGCGATATAATAGATCATTGATTACAAGAGTTGAGCTCACATGAGCTCTTAAATATTTCTGCAAATTGACGATATCCGAATAGTACAGTTCTTCAAATTCATAATTCTGAAAATATAGTATATAGGTCATGGAATGATTAGAATAAGGATACATATTATCATTTTCACGTATTTGGATATTCAATATTGATCAGTATATTAAAAAATGCCCAAAATATTCAAAGTGAAGTATTCGTTAAAAAATTGAGAGGGTGAAACAAATCTTTACTTAGATATTATTTCTTTAATTATATTCATAAAAATCTTCAATCTATCGATCGGAATTTCCAATTACCATCAACTTTCCAAACTTTCGTTCGGTTTGTTAACAGAAAGTTAAGAATGCGCGAGATGTCGGATAGAATCTTCAGTCTACCGATTACATGGACTCTTCTAGAAATTCATTTGCGTTGCCATTAGTTACAAATAGAACTATAGTACCTGAGGATGGTTGGCTTTTGGTATCGAAGTAAATGAGTGGAGTGCTTGTTAAATAACGTTTCACTGATGACCTATCGTAGCTGAAAATTCATAAATTATCCAGGTCTCCAAAGTTCTATACTGAATCTTGATCCTTTATTGAACCATATTCGAAGTGACTTGAATCTCTAAAGTATCGTTGATCTCTCAATTGTTTCGAAATTATCATTCAGACGTTTGTTACTATCTACGATTCCATCGTAATCGCGTTTCGATTCCTATTCGGCAAGTAGTACTCAGATAGCATCGAATTTACCACATCGGCCATTTTTACGCTCGCTTGAGCTTTACGATCTCCCGACGTCCTTGCATTCTCAATTATACTCGACGCTAATCCTCCCACTTGTTTGACGGACCGGTGCTGTCGAATTAGAAAGTTCGTTGTCTAGCTGTGACTTTTTGACTTTTGCCTTCCTTCGTCCATCTATGCGGAAAAATGACGAGGCGATGGAAAACGCGCACATAGGACGTGAAATTCAAACTGTTGATGAGAGAAAAGATGCGTTTGTTTATGCAGATGTTGATGCGCATGCGATTAAGATTTACTGAGAGTATTCGCGATGCAGTGGTTCGTTGATTGGGGTCAAATTGTGAACGAATGGCTTTATTGAATAGTAAAATTATGCCTCATAAATTTTGCAATTTGTTCGAAATAATAAAAATGAAATAGCTCTGATGAATTATGTATTGTTGGAAATTTAACATTGAAAATATTCAGTTATTAACATGTACACGTTCTTACTAACACATTGCTAATCTTGATTTATATGGTAATGTGTATTTTTGGTTGGGTTACAACCCACGTCTCCACAATCTATAGAATAAGACAAACATTTGTACCACGAATTAAGGAATTATTTAGTGAATCAATTAACGAATCATAAATTTCTTTCCTGACAACGTGCTTTAACAATGAAGATAATTCAATAAATACATCCTCTGCATCATTATGAACCTCTTTCTAGCCACCGCAAGTGTGAATACGTGACTAGGCTACGAATTTGATGGCTAGAATGCGGATGTTTATGGCAAATGCGAACACAAATGCAGGAAAAGAAAGAATGTTAAAAGTAAGTTATGTAACGTAAATAATAAATTATATAAGTAAATAATTAAGTAAAAAAAATTATATAAGTAAATAATAAAAGTTATAAAATTTAGAAGATACCACATATCCTGATTCAAGCTTTACTTCCACGTTATTCGTCGTTAAGGTGCTTATCAAAGATCCCACTTCATTTAGTCCAGTGTGATAAAACACTGACACCTAAATGTAGCTTAGAAAGTGAACGTGAAACGTCTGTTGTATATACGTAGCTATCACAATTGTCAGAACCTTCGTCGTCCGAGGATTAATCCTTTCACTGTGGATTAAGATGACTATGCGCTGCAATAACTGTGTTGTAGAACTTAAGAAAAATTATTTTATATGGATTTGATGTATACTCATTTCGCTATTGGTTAGAACAGGAAATACGTAATCGCCCATGTGTGGCAACAATTCTAAGCCTTAACAGTTTATATGGTCGTTAAAAAAGTTTGAAAGCAGTTTAAACATTAGAGTATAATGTACAAGTAGAACGATAATTTGAACAAAACCATCGTTCATGATAAAAGCGCCCCGTCGATAAGGCGTTAATCGACTCTTGTAGATCTCTCTCGGGGCTCATTTTCTCTGCCATCGTCGTTCAATTTCGCGGTCTGTAAGCGTGACCGGCGGCTCCTCCGCAAGATGCAAAGAAAGAAGCAAATGGGAAGAGAAGAGAAAAAAAAAGGAACGCGGAAAAGAGAAAGAGGCGAAGGAAGGGAGTAATTTCTCCAGTGGAATCTCGGCGACGGAATTCGAGAATCGGTCGGTAAGCGAGTCAACCGACATCGACACGAATATCTCGGCGGAGACGAGCCAGACAGCTGGAAGGAGAAGAAGACTTAGCTCGTGAATGTAGGTCCCCCGGGTCGCCACCTATAATACGAACCTCCCACCTCGAGGGAGTCGTGCCACTATCTTACAGCTTCCTTCAAGAAGCGTGCCCGTTTCATCGTCGAGTTCATTCAGTTCAGCCCGGTCAACAGGTGGACCACCTTATCGGGAGACTCGAAGCAAGGTTGACTTTAACAGGAGCGTTCCAAGAGATAGAATCTTGAACGCATACAGGATGTTTCTAAAATCGCGTCGAGCGATTCGTAGGTGATGGGATATTTCTCTGCTTCGTGAGCGGCAAGGTCGTAGGAAGTAGGATGCATCGAAACTTAGGTTTTTTTTATTGATTTCGACGTTTTTGCTCGGATTTTTACTAGCATTTCGTTGGTTCAGAAGGAAACTGAGGTTTTTAGTCGGTCGTGTATTGGGATTTTGGTGATTCAGAAGGATATTTTGACATTTAACAAGTGCAGAAGGTAAATTGAACGATTCTGTTGAGGTGAAAAAGATGTTTCGATTTTCGGAAATCTGAACGCTTTAAATGAGCCACTTTTGAATTAGTAATCTGT